CCCGAAATCATCTCAAGATAACCATATATCATACATAACCAGATATCCATATCTATGGGAATGCAGGCTTACGTTTCTTAAGACAGGTGTGCCAGCAACAACATACTGGGCAACAGTCTCCGTTGAAGATGGCTGGGAGGATGAGGGACAACAGCCTGGACAGACAGGCAGTGTGCAGCCTGGAGGGTCCAGAGACAGGGAGGAGAGCTGGGAAGAAGGATCGGGGGGAGATGGGAAAGAAGACATAGGAGACATGGCAGACTGAGAAGAGAGGAGGGAAACACCAGATGGAGAACCAGGACCCCGTAGTTCAGAACGTAAAGGAGCAGGGAAGGGGCAGTGGGCGTGTCCGGGTCTAAGGCTTGGAAACGGTTACGAGACTGAGAAAGGAGGGGAAGGGCGAGGAAAACTGGAACGCCACACACGAGCGTAAGATATGTCAGCGAAAGAGGAGAGACGGTGGACTTTGTGTCTCGCCTCAGGAAAAGACAAACGTTCGCAGAGCTTCAAATTGAGGATGGCTTCCTCAAACTTGTAGTCGATACACCGGCGGGATAAGGTAGGGTGGGCCTCACCGCAATTGAGGCAGGTAGCCTAGAAATAAGAGCACTGTCTTAAGAGTGACCAGAGACCCCACACATGGGACATAGTAAATAATTATCAAAAGAAGGCACTAAACCGGGAAGGCTATGTAGCACCATCAAATGTGCGGGATAATCAGAGGGCGCTAAATATCACCAAGGATGCCTATTTGAGAACTGAAAGGCATAAGGGGAACGGTATCAAAAGTATCCGATTCACCAAGAATTCTATCGAAGGACAAGTGACCGCGGGGGACGGTCGGAAAGCAAGACACGCTCGTCCTGGAAGTCAGGACATTCAACAAGGATATGCACAACTGTAAGAGGGACAATGCAGTTAGGACAATAAGGAGGATGGCGCTCCATTAAGTGTCCTCGAGTTAAGCGCGTATGGCCAGGCCATACGCAACCTTGCCAGAGCAATTTCCCACCGCCGGTTACAGTGGTAGGAAGGCCACAGGCACAAATTATTGAGAGGCAGGACCAAAGAGCCAGAACTCAACCCCCGCAAGCACAATTTGGTGAGTACACTACTCTTAAGAGAATGCAGTTTGTTACCAGTAACAGAAGACTAACAGCCCTGCCAATGGGCAAGGATGGAGGTATGAATAACTGGGTAAATTCGGAATAAGGAATACCTTTACGGGAGATGGGACAAGTGAAGACAGCTTCCCTAGCGGCAGCGTCCGCACGCTTATTTAAAGACACCTTTGACAGGGTGGACAAAGACACTCTTCAGCACGGGTGGGACACGAACAGGGGGACACAGGTGGAAACTTAGTACCCAGATGAGTCACAGACATTAGAGAGAATTTTTCAGTGTCATAGTAGTTAATAAATGGAATGCACTAGGAAGTGATGTGGTGGAGGCTGACTCCATACACAGTTTTAAATGTAGATATGATAGAGCCCAGTAGGCTAAGGAATCTGTACACCAGTTGTTTGACGACAGAGAGGCGGGACCAAAGAGCCAAAGCTCAACCCCCGCAAGCACAATTAGGCGAGTACACCTGTATGGCTGGGAACCCAGCAAAACTCAACTGTCTTAAATATAATAGATTAGAAACAGCCAATGTTGAATTTCGACTACCACCGGATGGACTGGATTAAAGGACTAGCCATGAGAGTACTGCAAGAGTCAACTACAACCACAAAGGAGAATTGACAGCGAGAAAGCAGGAGACGAAGAGCATAGAGAATAGCATAAAGTTCTGCCGTAAAGATGCTAGTCTCCGGAGGCAGGCGACACATACAGATGTGTGTGGCCAGGAAAAACAACAGTAGCCTACAACGCCTGCAGACTTAAAGGCCCATCGGTGAAGATGGAAACCGAGTGGGAATTTGAAGAAAAGTCTTCAAGGAAAAGGCGTTTCAGAACTGTAGGAGGAGTAAAAGTTCGTGGGACAGATACACTGCACTTGTGTATTTCAGGGCACCATGCCCAAATTTCCAGCATTTATTGCAAAGCCTAGGAGAGGGAATGTACTCCTGAATGGAGCATCTGGCACCAGCAAAAATTATAGAAGGCGGAAGGGTCTACTATCAAAAAGTGATCTTTACAACTCGAAGAGGTTGATGACGACCATGAGGGGGTCGGGTGAACGTATCAACCTGGACAGAATGGCCTTGGGCTTCGAAGATATGTTTAATATCCTCGAGGCTAGTTTTTCAGGTCCCAAACACCAGTCGCAACATGGTGCAGAACAGTGCCAATACTGGCATTTAACCGGCCATTTTTGGAGAACCTAACAGAGGGTCTCCCCAATACTGGCCAATGCAGCCAAGCAGGTAGCTGCAGCCTGAGCAGCCTGAGCAGCAGCAGCAACGACACTACCAAAACGGGTGGGGTTTAAAGTCGGTCATCCACCGAGTCAACGAGATGTTTATGGAAGGAGACATCGTTAGTTAGTGAAGACTCCAGATGGTCGAGATCAAAATATTTAATTCATGTAGCAGGACCAAACAAGGTGTGGAACGTATCGGCATTGAAAGGAATCGTTTGTGTGTGTTGGGGGGTCGGCGCCGAGCACCCCCTCCCAAGTAAGAGGGGTGGGGGGTTAAAGGGGTCAGTTATCTGTGAGGAGCCACTCCACTTGTGGTGGTCACCACAGGGGGGCTTGGGGCTCAACCCTACTAGAGGAGGGAGAGGAAAGGGAAGGGTGGGGGAGTCTGGAGGGTCAAAGGAGTAGCTTAGTCTGGGCCGAATGTAGCGTGGGCTAGAGCCCGGTCTTCCAACACAGACTTGTGGGCTTGGTTGCCCACCCCACAAGCCTAAGAAGTTATAAGATGATCATTCAGCGACAAGGAAGCAAGGAGGTAAAAATTTCAATCACGAATGAGCCCCCACACCTATAATGGAGCCACAATTAGAGGATAGGACACCCAACAATTGAGGCCAGGGCCCCCTAGGGGTGCATCGTGAGTATACGCCCCGCAATCGCCACCTTAATAACCGTCAGTCCATTGAGATCGGGTTCAGCAATGAAAGGAGGATTGACAAAAGCGTCACCTCACTCGCATCGTCGGGTACCAGTTCTACAGGCAAGTATGTGCCGCCCCAAACACCCGGGCGTAAAAAATGATGTCCGAAAGAATAATAAATGGCAAAAGGTCGGCAGGAAAGATGATGAGAAAAGAGAAAGGGGGATGAAAGATAAGCATGAGGAGATATTGACCAGCAGAAGTAAAGACGCCAGCAGGAGCATAAGGCTCCAAAAGGAGACAGGACCGTCCCATGGAGCATCACACTCCTACAGCCATCAACCAAACCCCCACACGACAACGGGCTGGAAAGGGAGGGGGGCCCATTAGGAATGCAAAACACGATCGTCCTGAAAATCTGAACAATCCACACGTTGCAGGACTGAGAGCACGGTTTGGACAGAAAGGGGCACGGCGGCACTCCATTACAAGTGCCCACGAGTTAAGCAGGTACAGCCAACACGTAAGCTGGCCAATGCCATATCAAAACTTCGGTGGTAGGAAGGCCAATAGCATGTTACCTTTGAAAGCGTGCAGTTTCTTAGCCCTAGTACAGCCTAAAGGCACCAAACCGGAAAGGCTATGTAGCACCATCAAATGTACAGGATATTCGTAGGGCGCTAAATATCAGATACCAATACGAGTAAAGTGCGAACGATATCAAAGGTATCAGATTCAACACTTAATTCTATCGAGGGACAAGGGACCGCGAGGGATGGTCGGGAAGCAAGACACGTTCGTCCAGGAAGTACAGTACTGACATTCAACAAGGATATGCACGACCGTAAGTGACTGCAATTTGGGCAAGGAGCATGACCAATATTTAATCTCGCCAGAGCAGTTTCCCACCACTGGTTACGATGTAATGCAAAAAAAAGCAACCTAACCTTTAGTTTCCTATGACTAGTTGAGTACAAGTGTACTATATTAGGCCCAAAATTGCATATGCAAGCCTACGGAGAGTTCGGCCTACGAAAAGTTCTGGCCAATCCATGCAAAACGTAAATTATTGTACAGCAGATGGGTCATTTAATACATATGCGAAGAGATACTAACATTCGTACAAGTTGTGGTTTACACAGATGTATGCCGTAGTTGCAGCACAATGCAGTTAAGTCCTAGACTATACATGACTAACCTATAGTTGTCTTAACCCTCTAAAGGTTGGTAGGCCCTATGTACATTGCTACCCTTCTAATTTAACTTAAATTATGGTTTGCTTGGATACTCTTAATTTTCAGAAAATTGCTTACTAATGGCTTACAAAATTGTTAACATAGCAAATCTTATCTAAGCAACTAGTCTACTCTACTAAAACTATTTTAAATATTACATGAATTCTTACAATTATTTGAAAAGGGGCAATGCAGTCAGTCACTCAAAACTGAAGCCTTTGATACAGGAAGTATAACTTCAGCAAGCAAAGACTATACCTTCCGATGGAAAATATTGAAAGGGGGCACCAAGCAGGAGAGACTATGTAGCTGTTCCAATTTTAAGCTTTCCTAGACATATTGGAAGCCATGTCACTCCTGACAGGCAGTATATGGAAAACATTCTATAGCTGCATCAGGTTTAGGTCTACTTAATTAGCATTCAACATATCTTTTACTGGAAAAATGTGAGCCTTGTAAACCTCTTCAATTAATCAGCATGAAAAATGCCCAATAACCTCACTTGCAACCAACCACAAGGTTGATTGTACCATTTACTCCAATGTATATACCTTGGTTGATGGGGTTCTGAGAGTCTTGGAGCGGCCCGCAGCGTATATGCTCAAGGAGTATAAACATTCTGTACACATTCAACGCATTCAGAAAATATTAAAATGTTTACAATGTCAAAAATTACGAGGAATTTAATTTCTCAATTTGAGGAATCCGTTTCATTTTAACCCAGAAACAAAATTTAGTCAATTGAGGAATATAAAAACAAGAATGCGTACAACTTTTATTGCAGTAATGTATTTTATCACTTGTTGAACATTGACACTATCACTTTGAAAGAGGCTGCATGATAACTTGTCGCACTGGAACAGTTTACCTGGAAAGAGAGATCTGTTAACACCACAAGTTACCCTAAAATTAGCTTTGTACAAGAATGCTTATCAGATGGCCGTTCTTGCTTTCTTCAAAAACAATTACAGAACAGGTCTGCGAACAATCATCACTTTAGTTTCATATACAAAGCTCATCAAGGATCCTTCCATACCGCTTTCTCATCCACTTGCAAAATCAAATCATTAAAATCAACGTTATATCTTCCTAGACTATGCAGCTTCGGGAGGTTGGGGGAGCATAACCATAGAAATTGCTTCAGTTCATGCATTTATGCCAGATTTCAAGTAGGGAAGGCAATACAGTATCCAGCTACATACAGAATTCACAAAGGCTTGTATCCATGTTGAAATATCCACCCAGCCACCTCAAACTCTGGAATTATTTGGTGGCTAATACCAACAAAGTAAGAATGTAGACACTTTAATTGCAACAATGCAAGACAATCTCTCCCAGCAATCCTAGTATTTGTGTTATTAGGCCATATATAATACATAGATTGCTATACTATGAATATGTAAGTGCAGTTTTTAAGCATCTTTTTGGTCAATAAATGCATAAAAGGGAATTTACTGGTGGTCTATCAGTATATATTTCTATTTTCGACCAAATAAGTTACTTTCAAGTACTATTATATTAGGATGGGATGAAATTACCCAAGAGGTAAAATTTGAATATCATACCTAGGTTATTACTGCCTTTCACAGTATTTCACAAGAAATTGCATTAACTGTACTGAAAAAAAATCATAGGTCTGCACAATTGGCTGCAACTTTAAAATTGAATTTGGCTAAATTTTATTTTTGAATCTTTGGTTAGGAAACAGTTTGGGGGCAAGAGGTGGATTAGTAATAAAAAAAAAAATATTGCACCCACTTCTATTCATTGGGGAAAAAAGGCTGTAAGCTACACTACCACAATCTCAAATTTCTATCCTTGGCCATGTGTAAGTAAATAGACACAACACCCACCGAACATTTTAAACTAACACTAACAGCCTACCAATTAGGAATTTAGTTGAGCTGGCAGCAAGAAACTCAAAGCTTGACTCCAGACACTTCAGACAGTCACCTCAACACCACAACAGCTGCCTATCTGGGAAAAAATATACCTGTTAACAACACACACTACACTAAAATTTATTTTATACAAGAATCATTATCAGATGGACGTTCTTATTTTCTTCAAGAGACTTACAGAACAGGTCTGTGAATCATCACAATATCGTGTAATCAATACCAGTGAGTTGAAAATCCCTCAAGAGTTGAGTGGGAAGGTGTGGACTGTAGAGCATTAGAAAAGTCATACCATAATTTGTTGATACATGGCATAAAGCTAATCCTCAACAATGTTCCATTGCAATAAGTGTTTAGACATGATCAACCCCCAATGCAGTACACAAAGTACATGAACTATTTAGGCATCTAGTGCTATTGCATTTCCATATCTCCACAAATCTTAAGACTGCAAATTTACTACACAATACTGGACAACTTGGGACCACTTACCTCGAGCCCTAAACTAGAGTAGTTTCAGTTGGGAACTTGCAGAACCTAGCAACTCATTCCTGGAAAAAGTGATTAAATAAGGCACTGTATAAAGAAAAGATATTTTACTCAAATGTATTGAAAACGTTCAGAATGTATTGAACATCACACTGTCAGACATATGCTTGTCTATATTCATCATCAACACGAGGGAAAAATTTTACATTTATACAACCATATAGATTACTCAGTTGCCACTACCACACAGATCAGACCATAATATGATCCACGTACATGGCAATTGTTAAAACTTTATTCTTCAATATTTAACATTTACTCTAGTTCAAAATTTAGCACTAAAGGAACATTTCACTCTTGGCTATGGGCTTAATCAGAATAATGTTAAGTTATTACCTTCACAGAAGTGATGCCATCACCAAAAACTGCAACACCCTTTTTCCTGGAAAGAGACGTGCTTATTTAAAAAAAAAAATTGGTTGGCTAAAAATAAATTCAGAGAACAACCGTAATCAGATGGCCGTTCTTGCTTTCTTCATACAATTACAGAACAGGTCTGCGAACAATCATCATTTAATATTCTCATCTAAGAAATCCATTGACCAATAATTTAGCTTTAAAATATAACAAGCTTTTTATTACTGATTGGCATTTCAATTTGCACAGCTGCAGTTATTATATACCCATATTAGACTTTCCCAATACTTGCCAAGTGACTCACAGCCAGTATGCCCAAACAATTTGTGTTGGTGCATATCCATGATCCATCACTAATTTAGGATCTGCAATAGGGCATCACTAAGTAAACAAACCTTAACACTTTCGCGCGCCCAAGTGCACCCGGCGAACAAGGAAAAAAGTCAGCGCAATGTGCTCTCTGCGTTTGCGGGCGATCGAGTGGAAACACTGAAAAGTGTATACCCTTTTCACTGTCCTGATCTTAATTTTCGATGTACAGATTTCATTTTTTTACCAATGTGTTCGCAATAGAATGTTCTAGAAGAACATACGTATAAAATGTCACCAAACTGATTTAAAGCACTACCAATAAAGAAAATACGTGGATCACTAGCCGTGAGCTAGTGCATGAGCTCCAAACAGCGAAGAGATGTTTCCATTCTTTTCAGGGTTGTCAACTCCACACTTGTCCTAAAGCGTTAAATTTGGTATCTTTGAGATCGTAATAAAATTCCCTACACAGAACCATTAACACTTTCATCCAGGCACGACGCAATGCTGCGTCATCCGTTTACTGTCGGTAGTCTGAGATAACGCAATGCTGCGTCGTTCGCTAAAATAGCCAAAAATCAGGTTTTTCAGATTTTGGGGGACTGGTTTTAAAATGCGCGCCTATCATGATGGAGCAACCTCAGTGCAGCAGGTAAGTAAGTAATTATCAAAAGAAGGCACCAAACCGGGAAGGCTATGTAGCACCATCAAATGCGCAAAATAATCAGAGGGCGCTAAATATCACCAAGGATGCCAATACGAGAACAAAAACGCCTAAGGCGAACGATATCAAAAGTAACCGAGTCACCAAGAATTCTATCGAGGGACAGGTGACCGCGAGGGGCGGTCGGAAAGCAAGACACACGCTCGTCCTGGAAGTCAGGACATTCAAGAAGGACATGCACGACCGTAAGAGGGACAATGCAACTAGGACAATAAGGAGCAGGGCGGCGCTCCATCAAGTGACCATGGGTTAAGCGAGTATGGCCAATACGCAACCTCGCCAGAGCCGTTTCCCACCGCCGGTTACGGTGGAAGGAGGACGGCCACGAGGAAACAACATTTAAGAGTACGTAGCTTGTTACCAGTAACAGACAACCAAGAAGCCTGCCAACGGGTAAGGACTGAGGAATGGATAACTGGGTAAAAGTCGGAATACGGAATGCCTTCACGAGAGATGGGACAAGAGCGGACAGCTTCCTTGGCGGCAGCATCCGCACGCTCATTTAAAGACACGCCAATATGGCTGGGAACCCAACAAAACTCAACCGACTTAAATTTACTGTGAACGAGAAACAGCCAATGCTGGATCTCGACAACTACTGGATGAACTGGATTAAAGGACCCGAGAGCCATGAGGGCACTACGAGAGTCAACAACAACCACAAAGGAAGACTGACAACGAGAAAGCAGGAGACGAAGAGCATAGAGAATAGCATAAAGTTCCGCTGTAAAGATGCTAGTCTCCGGAGGCAAGCGACACATATAAGTGCGATCAGGAAAAACAACAGAGTAGCCAACACCGTCCGCTGACTTAGACCCATCGGTGAAGACAGAAACGGAGCGGGAGTGAGAAGAAAAGTGCTCAAGGAAAAGGCGTTTTAGAACCGTAGGAGGGGTAAAAGCTTTAGTGATACGGGTCAAGGATGTACAAAACCGCGGAAGAGGGACCCTCCACGGGGGCAAAGAAGGAACAACACGAGGAGAAACACCAGAAATACGAACGGAAAGAGAATCCTGTAGGCGAGATAACCGGACAGAAAGAGGGAGGTGGTGAAGAGGAACAGGAACCGCAGGAGGGGTAAAAGTTAAAGCACGACAGAGGCGAGAGGAAGGATGTTGCAAGGACCGCGCAAGATAGCGAAGACAGTAGCGATCACGGCGGTCCTGGAGAGACAGGAAGCCAGTGTCAACATACAAGCTAAGGACGGGAGTCGAACGAAAGGCACCAGAACTGAGGCGCAACCCAGTATGGTGCAAAGCATCAAGACGGCGAAGAGTAGAAGGAGAAGCAGACGAGTAAGCAGGGCAACCATAATCGAGCTTAGACAGGACGAGAGAGGAATGTAAAGCAAGGAGAGTGCGCCTATCTGCCCCCCAAGAAGTATGGGACAAGACCCGAAGGAGGGTAAGGGCCTTAGAGCACTCAACACGGAGGTAAGAGATATGGGGAGACCAAGACAAACGAGTGTCAAGGAATAACCCCAAAAGCTTCGCGGAATCTTTGTATTCAAGGGGATGACCATAAAGTGACAAAGAGGGACGAAGAACAACCCGTTTCCGCGTAAAAGTCATGGCACAAGTCTTAGAAGTAGAGAACTTGAAGCCATGACCTGTGGCCCAAGACGACACGGCATCAATTGCAAGTTGAAGCCGGCGTTGAAGGAGAGGCGAATCATCACCCTGACAACAAAGGGTAAGATCATCGACATAGAGAGCAGAGAAGACACCAGAAGGAAGAGAGGAAAGAAGACCATTGAGGGCAACCAGAAAAAGAGTAGTGCTCAGAACACTACCCTGGGGCACACCTTCGTATTGCTGAAAAGAGGGAGACAGAGCGGTACCAAGGCGCACCCGAAAGGAACAACGAGAGAGGAAGCTGCGGAGAAAGAGAGGGAGATGACCACGAAGGCCAAAAGAATGAAGTTGAGATAGGATATGATAACGCCAAGTGGTGTAAGCCTTTTCTAGGTCAAAAAGGACGGCAACAACGGAGGTCTTCGCAGCAAAAGCAGTACGAATATAGACCTCCAAGTTCACCAGGACATCTGTCGTGCTGCGGCACTTGCGGAAACCAAATTGAGAAGGGGAGAGGAGGTGATGGTGTTCCAGGAACCACATCAGACGAACGTTAACCATACGTTCAAAGAGTTTGCAGACACAACTTGTGAGAGCAATAGGGCGAAAGTCCTTAGGGGAAGTACCCAGAGACCCCGGTTTGCGAACAGGGAGGACAACGGCATCGAGCCAGTCCTCAGGGACTGACGACGACTCCCAGATCCGATTATACAGACTCAGTAAATACTGAGACGTGCTCGGAGGGAGATGGCGAAGCATCTCATAATGAATACCATCGGAGCCCGCCGCCGTAGAACCGCAGAGGGCCAGGGCAGAACGAAGTTCAGAGAGAGAGAAGGGATCATTATAGGGAAGCTGAAGATGAGTGCAGAAATCTAAAGGACGAGACTCAAGGACAGGTTTACGAAGAAGGAAAGATTGGGGAAGATGAAGACCAGAGCTAACAGAAGAAATGTGGGAACCCAGTTCGGAAGCGACCTGCAACGGGTCCGCCACAAGAGTATCATGGAGGTGAAGGACCGGTGAAACATCGGGAACGAACTTACCCGCTATCTTGCGGATACGCTTCCAGATCTGGGCCAGAGGGGTTTCGGACGTAATTGTCGAGACATAAGATGCCCAACATTCACGTTTAGCCGTACGGATGGCCCTACGGGCCACCGCACTCGCTTTCCGAAAGAAAAGAAAAAAATCGGTCGTCTGCCTACGGCGGTGCTCTTCCAGGCTGCACCCTTACAGCGGACAGCCCGAGCACAGTCCGCATTCCACCAGGGAACGCACTTCCGTGGACCCCGAGAGGAAGAGCGAGGAATAGAGCGGAGGGCAGCGTCGAAGACAGTGTCATGAAAAAGGAGGAGAGCGCGAGAGAGAGGCAGAAGGGAGAGGTCAGAGAGAGTAGCACTGAGGGTAAATAGGGTCCAGTCCGCCTTAGCAAACTGCCACCTAGGGAAAGAGAGGGAAGGGCGAAAAGAGAAAAAGGAAACAAGGATGGGGAAATGATCACTTCCATGGAGGTCATCAAGAACCTGCCACATGAAATCTAAGTAAAGAGAAGAAGAGCAGAGAGAAAGATCAAGACAAGAAAGGGTGCGAGTTCGAGAGTCCAAATGAGTGGGCTCACCAGAATTCAGAAGAGACAGGGAAGAAGAGAGGAGAAACGGCTCAAGGAGGCGACCCCGGGTATTCGTCAGAACGTCACCCCAAAGAGAATGACGACAATTGAAGTCACCCAGCAGGAGCACAGGCTCCGGCAAAAAGTCTAGGAGGTGTTTCAAATCAGGAAGAGAGAGCGGGACACTCGGGGGGAGATAAATGGAACAAACTGTGTACCATTTCCCCACAAAGATACGAGCAGCAGAACAATGGAGAGGCGAAGGAAAAAGTAAAGGAACAAAGGGAACATCAGCCCGAATCAAGAGAGCAGAAGAATTAGAAGCCCCAGCAATGGCTGGGGGGGGGGGGGGGGGGGAGAGAAAGGAATAGCCACGAAAACGACCAGGACGAGCACCAAGCATTGGCTCCTGGAGACAGACACAAAGGGGCGAAAACTGCGAAACCAGAAGTTGGAGTTCGAGGAAATTGGCGTAATAACCTCGAACGTTCCATTGAAGAATGGACAACGACGAGAAGAGAAAGGACAAAAACAGAGAACAAGGAAGAAACAAAGGCGAAAGAGCAACAGAGCACGTTAAAGAATATCAGGGTCGGGATCAGGGTCAGCAAAGTCAGGGTTAGGGGGCTGTTACGGACCCTGATCCAGCGTCCAATCTCTAAACAGTGACGGCCGCGCCATCTGTGGGTCAGCTCCCGAAACCCCCTCCAAACCAACGACGTGTACTAGCTACGAGGGCCAGTTTCCAGCCCCGTTCAGCGCTCAACGCCGCCTCCGCTGACCTCTGGTGAGGTGGTGCTCAGACTACAACGCCGTCTATGGAGTGGATATGTCGGGCGTTTGTGTCTGAGCCTGTAAGTGTGGTGTTTTAGTGTCCCTGTTATTGATGACGTGTCTGCTTACAGAGCTGACCTGGGACCACTGTGTTGAAGGTGAAGTCAGTCTACCCGAGGCAGCCAGTCTCCATACTGTGAAGTTTGCTGCAGCTGTTGTGACGTCGTCCCCCCGGAAGAACACTGTGGTGTGTTAAGCCTGCCAGTGGAGTGGCAGTGGAAGGATTTACCCGGGACCGACGGTTGGAGACGATAATCCACTGGGGTATTGAGGACAGGAGGGTGATTGGTGATATCACACGAGACTCTTGTCTAGGGCGTACCCCTTTTATCGTTCGTGGAGTGGCCGTACCAGCCTTGGTGGCTCAGTACCTGCCAGCAGACCTGCTGGACGTGTGGTTGACGGCCTCCACGACGGTGCCCTCAGTGGACCTGTGTTGTGGCTGACCTGTGGCCAGGGTAGACTCGGCGTTCTCAGAGGACACGTCTTGAGGCCACGAAGAAAGCACCGCGGACTCAGCACCTAGCTTCGAGGATCCATAGTCTCCAGCAGAAGACTACAGTGTTGATCCCCTTTGTAAAGTGTTAATACCCCTCCCCCTTGTGTACGTTTTACTTTTATATATTTAAATGGTGATGGTGGACATTATATAATATTAAGTTCTTAACTTTCTTTCCCTACTCCCTTTTAAGTTACTTGCGTCACGGATCTCATCCCTTGATAGCCACTACTGGCTTGGGAACGGATACCTATATCTTCCTCTAACAACATCAGAGCAAGAACCCCGTTGCGTCCCGAGAGGGCCGTAACAGGGGCATGGGTAAACTGAGCAAAGACGGAGGGAAGGAAACGGGAGAACAGATCAGAGGCAGGCGGGCAGGGTCCGGAGGAGGAGGAGGAAGAGGAGGAGACAACGGAGAGGATCCGTCAAGGACAGCAGCAGGAGGAGGGGGAGTAGAAAGAGGGGAGCGCACCCCAGCAAGAGCAGCAACCGAAAGGGAAGCAGGGTCCAAAGAAACCTCCATAGCAGGAACAGGGGGCGCAAGCACTGAAACGGGAGGGGAAGGAACAACAGAGCCAGAAGGAGGAGCTGAGGAAGAAAGCGAAGCCTTCTTACCCGCCGGGGAAGAGGAAGGAGAGGAGCCAAGCGTAAAGACCGGTGTCCCAGCAACTACGTACCGGGCAACGGATTCCAGTGTCTCAACCGGAGAAGCCGAACGAGAGCACACACGACGGCCGGTAGGAGAGCGATGGACATCTGCCCGCACCGACAGGCGGTGGGGAGAGCTGATAGATGGAGGAAGAGGATGGGAAGGAGGACCGGAGGGGGACGAGGAAGAAGACACAGAAGACACGACAGACCGGGTAGAAGGAAGGGGAACCCCAGACAGAGGACCAGGAGGAGGATCCTTCGGGAGAGAACCCGAAGGAACAGAGGAGGGGGCAGTGGGCGCATCAGGGTCCAAGGCCCGGAAACGGTTGTGAGTCTGAGGAAGGCGGGAAGGACGAGGAGAGGAAGAGCGCAACACGCGAGCATAAGAGATATTAGCATAAGGCGGGAGCCGGCGAACCTGGCGCCTCGCCTCAGGAAAAGATAAACGCTCCCGGTGCTTCAGGTAGAGGACGGCTGCCTCAAGCTTGTAATGGACACACGCACGGGAGAAGGTAGGATGGGCCTCACCGCAGTTGAGGCAACGAGCCTGGGGAGAAGTGCACTCCGACTTAGAGTGACCTTCGCCACCACACAAAGGACAGAGAGAGACAGTCCCGGAGCAGCGGAGGGCACCATGCCCAAACCTCCAGCACTTGTTGCAGAGCCGAGGAGAAGGAATGTACTCCTGGACAGAGCACCTGGCACCAGCAAGAATGACAGAGGGTGGAAGGGTCCTACCATCAAAGGTAATCTTCACAACCCGGAGGGGTTGACGGCGACTACCACGAGGGGGACGAGTAAACGTGTCCACCTGGAGAATAGAATGGCCCTGGGCAGCGAGGATATGTCGAATATCGTCGTGGCAGTCGCGCAGGTCCCGAACACCGGTTGCAACATGGGGCGGGAGCAAAATAGTGCCAACACTGGCATTCAACTGAGCGTTTTTCGAGACCCGAACGGGGGTCTCGCCAAGGCAGGACAAGGCAGCCAAGCGGGAAGCAGCATCCTGAGAAGGAGCAGCAACGACACGTGTACCGAGACGAGTGGGGTTGAAAGTAATGGAGGCATCCACGGAATCAATGAGATGTCGATGAAGGGAGAAATCGTCAGGAGGCGCAGAATCAAGAGGGAGGAGATCAAAATATTTGGCCCACGAAGCGGGACCAAACAAGGCTTGATAGGTAGCAGAACTGGAAGGAATCGAGCGAGGGCGGCCGTGACGAGGACGGCGGTGAGAACCCCCAGAGAGAGACGGGTTAAAAGGCGCAGTAGTTACAACTAGAGAAGGAGCCGCGCCAGGGGACGAGGTAGTCACCACTGGGGGCTTGGGGCTCGACCCAACCACAGAGGAGGGAAGGGAGCCAGGGGAAGGAGTCAGAGAGGCCAAAGGAGGAGCAAGGTCGGGGCCCAATGCAGCGGAGGCTACAGAGCCCGGTCTTCCAATACGGACCGACTCGGGGGCTTGGTCGCCCACCCCACGAGCCTGAGAAGGGAAGCTAGAAGCAGCCGAAACAGGGGTTTTCATCGTGATGAAAAGAAAAATTCACTCACGAATGTGCCCCCACACCCACCATGGAGCCACAATTAGAGGCAGGACACCCAACAAGAAGCTATCGCCGATCTTGTCGGGGCCTCCTAGGGGTGCGTCGTGAGTATACGCCCCACAAACGCCACCTTAAGAAACCGACAGTCCGTCGAGATCGGGTTCAGTGACGAAGTGGGGATTGACAATAAAAGGTTCCCCTCGCTCTCGACGTCGGGTACTGCAGTTCTACGGGTGCATGAGTATGCCTCCTCAAGCACCCGGGCGTCAAAATAGAAGAAGTCCAAGGGAAGAACCAGAACGAGCAAAAGGTCGGCAGGAAACGGCAAGCAGATAGGAGAAGAGGGGGGAGAAAAACAAAACAGAAGGAAAAGTAAAAGATGCCCAGCAGAATTGGAGAGGACGGCAGCAGGAGCACAAGGCTAGAAAAGGACAGAGGACTGTCCCAAGGAGCATCACACTCCGGCAGCCGCCCACTAAGCCCCCACACGGCGACAACGAGCTGAGCGGGGAGGGGGTGCAACAGGTAACTCAACAAGCCAAATGCAATCTGACTACAATACAAACATGAAAGGTGTTGATCACTTTGACCAAAGTATCTAATATCACTTCACAAGGAAAACTCTCAAATGGACGAGGAAAATTACCTTCTATTTTGTGCAAATGGCTATCTACAATGCTTATGTGATGTACAACTACTACACAACAGATAGAAGGACTACTAAACGTGGGCTGGAATTGGTTGTGTAGCTGGAAGGCGTCTGAGCGCTCGCGGCTAACGCGTGGCCCGTCTTCAACTCGTCGGCGGGTGGAGCGTGACCAGGTTTTTTATTTTATATGCTAATATTCCTCTAGAGAATTTTATTGCAAACCCATTGATACCAAAATGAAAGACCTAGGACAAAAATTGAGGTGACCAGAGTGAAAAGAGTGAACACATTTTATCACTTGCGCGCTCCTTGGTAACTCTTTCGCACTTTGTTTGCTGTGGGTAATTAGCCGGGTTTTGAGTTTATATGCATTTAGTGCTGTAGAGAATTCTATTGCGAACACAATACCAAATTTAATCTCGTAGGACGAGAATTTATGTGACAAAGTTGGAGAGTATGCACTTTTCAGAATTAACGCGCGCTCCCGTGAAACGCTGGGACCCACATCACATAGTCGAGGGGTGGTGCGGCGGGTGCGTCAAAGTGTTATTTAACAACTCTGGATGGTTGGAAGGAAACTGGAATGCACTGAAGAGATTGAAGCAAATTCCATCCACAACTTCAATATGAAAACATTAATATTGAGAGGGGTAATTAGTACACTATGAATGAACAGCTAGGAGACTGGATATAATGAGCTCTGCTGTAATCAACAGGCAAGCACTAAACTTGCTTTTCACTACATCAAGCCCTAAAATACTCACCATTATGCCAGCTGCCAGTCACCTGCAGAATAGAAACCCCCATTAGAAGCATTACTAAGCACACACACAACTATAAATGAGCAGTATGTCAGTTATCATATTAATCAACATATATCGTTAGACTCTTCCAGATATCATCATAGAAATGGTAAACAAATGCAAATATTAGGGATTTACATCCTCTTTCAGTGGATAATTACCAGCGATTAGCATTCGCTAGAGGGGTCGTTTTTGTTAAAGGTTAAAAGCTTGTCTTTAAAAGGTACATTACTAGAGCTTTATTGGACAAATTTGTTGTCACTATACTGAGAAAAAACCTATGCAGTTCAATGCACTTCACTGAACTTTGATTAAGCTATGACGGTGAATGGCATATTCACCAGCTTTTGTAAAAAACAGCAACTTTTCTTCAAAGAAGTTTCCAAAACTCCCTTAATTCGCTGTAAAATTTACCCACGTTAAGAAAATGCAAATTTTTAATCTAATCTTATGAAGACAATTACCTGGTACAGGCCTAGAGCTGCTGCAATCTTTGAGAAGCTTTGATCCTAGTAACAATCTTGATCAATCCATGTACAACCTGAAGCAGAAGTAATAATATTTAGAGAAGTAACAAAGCCTAATAAAATATTGAATTATTCCATAATCAGACATCACAAGCATCATTGCCTCAAGTAGTCTGCTGGAAACCATAAATGTTACTGCGTAACTGCTGGGTGACTATGGCCTCGGGTCGTGTAGCCTTTTAAGCATAAAGTAGTGTCCCATAGGTTAAAGTTGCACCTAACAATTAGCAAGCAACTTCTCAAAGGCAGCAACAACAGTGCAACATGCACCACAAGTGTTAAAACAATTTGGGAAAGTTATATTCACTGTCCACAATTATTACTAGTAGCAGTAGTTATGAAGAGCATAAATACAATTTGTAATTCAATCTTTGGCCAATAAAAACTTATCTACTATGAAATCAGTGTTGTATGAAAACATTTCATTGGTTAAGTTGAATTTGGGTTAATGTTTGCAGAGCACACCACACCGTAAATTACACAAATTAATGAACAGTTCAAACTGAAGTACTGTACTGTATTTAATCTATGTCTGCAATGGGTTAACCCAGTGAACCCACTTTTTGACTGCTTGTGATAGAATTACTTGCCATCTTTTAGATTATAATTGTTCAAGGGCTAATTAACAATTCCACAAGGGCCATGACGAGGATTTGAACCTGCGTCCAAGAGCATCCCAGACGCAGCCGTAATCGACTGAGCTACGACATGGTAAAAGAATTGCAACCATGTAAATTCAGACAAATTTCTGGTTGCAATTCTTTTTACCATGTCATAGCTCAGTTGATTAAGGCAGCGTCTGGGATGCTCTTTGACGCAGGTTCGAATCCTCGTCATGGCCCTTGTGGAATTGTTCATCGATGCCACACACTATTGTGTGTAAGTCAACCACACGGGGCCAGTGGTTGTGTGGACAGCACTCGGAATTCGAAGTCCTAGGGTCCAGGTATCGAGTCCCAGCAATGCCGTTAACAAGTGGGCATAGTTTCTTTCACCCTGATACCCCTGTATGCCTAATAGTAAATAGATACCTGGGAGTTACACCAGCTGCTACAGACTGCTTGCTGGGACTGTAACAAAATGGAGGCTTGGTCAAAGACCAGGACGCCACGCCCAAGATCATCTCAAGATGTGCCACACACTACACATTTACAAAGGTTACTCAAATGCCATCAACTTGCATAAAGAAACCATTATTACTATTATTGTTAGTTCAGATAGTTACAACTAAGTAATGTCCGTTTTTCAAATTAATTTAACACTTTCAGCCTACCAGCGAATGCAAAAAAAACAACCGTAAGTGCTCCCTGCGTTTTGCCGCGTAAGCGTAAAAACAAAAATGTGTATACTCTTTTTACTCTCCTGACCTTAGTTCTCGAGCTACGCATTTCATTTTGGTACTAACGTATTCGCAATAAAATTCTCTAATAGAACATCAGTAAAAAGTCACGAAACGTATAGGGATACCAGCACCAAATAAATAACTACGAAGATGACTCGCCGTGAGCGCCCAACAGCAACAAAATGCTTTTACTCTTGGGATTGTTATCACCTCCACACTTTTTCTACAGCGTTAATTTTGGTATCAATGGACTCGCAATGAAATTCCCAACACGGTGATATGAATATAAGTGTAGAATAATGATTGCGGCCAGCCCGCAAGAGTGTGGGAGGTGGTGAAATTGTTACCCGGTGTCGGTGACGGGACGACGCACGGGGCTTTGAAAGTTTATACTTATTTCATTCTCATGACATTATTCTATGTACGTCATTCATTTTTGTGTCAATGTGTTCGCAATAGAATGTTCTATGAGCCCGTAGGTAAAAAAGATCAACAAAGCGTAAGATAGAATAGCGCCAAATATAAAAACTCTGGAACATATCAGTGAGTCAAACACACACAAAATGTTTTTACTTTTGTTATCTTTGTGAACCTTTCATGAACTTATTGTACCATGCTGCCTATTGGTGAGAGCCTGATGGCGCGCAGTTTGAAACAAACCCAAAGTAAATCGGATAATAATTGAATTTTATACAAATATTTTAAAAGAGGACATAAGTTATGTCCACATAGCGGGAGCGGGTAGGCGAAACAGGACGCCGGGAGGCGTCCTAATCCCGCGAAAGTGTTAATCAACGTGTATCGTTAGGCTATGCAGTTATCTGTACACACAATACTTACATATATAATGCAGTTGTGCCCGTACCAGTTCTCTCCAAAGACGATGCTCCAGACAACAGGAATTTTTGCCAAAGCATAAACCAGTTTGCCTGTATAGGGAAAATAAACCCAATGTTAACTACTAGAGAAACACCACAAGCAGGATCAATGTTATACCAGTCTCAGAACACTGTTGTCGTCACTCCTTTGTCAGACATCTAAGGAAGGATTAATTATCATCATACTGAAGTTATAGTTTAGCAATAAACTTATTTTGCAGCACTAGGTTTAGATTAATTTAATCTAATCTAAGTCTAGATTAATTAAACTGCTTACTAGGGACGTAGCATGGCACTGCATAACATGGCATAAGGACGTAGAGAAGGCCAAGTGCTTAAGACTGCCCATCTGGGGGAACAAGAACACACATTACACTTTTTCTAGGTGTGGGACACACGAGTCTGCTCTAAGTAATTCAGAAATGAGGAATTCACTAGTCAACATTATTATTATGTTAGAATATTCATCACTTTAATTGGATCAAAAGTTAATATTGTTGTGCACACGCTCACCTTGAGTGTCCATGTGTCGTGTCCCGGCACTACCTGGAACGTTAGGTTGAAGGTTTTGTTAATATATTTGAAGAAAACTAAATACTTCTGACGTTTAACTCTAGAATTCAGAATCCTTTTGACTTTCTCTCACAGAGATCAAGTGTAAAAATTTGTCATCATTGCATAAAATTACCCATAACTTTTATATGAAAGGAAAGTGGCTACAACTTGATATTAATCATTTGTGTGGCCAGACTTTACAGTACAAACCACACAAAAAAATTTATAAATTTAAACATTTACTTACAAACAAATTTCTGCACCTTAATCTGGACACTTTGCCACATCCCAAACCTAAGGAAAGATCTAAACTTTAGCTTCATCAACATTAAAGACACAAGGCTCGTGTATATAGTGGTCAGACCTGTTGAGCTTGAACCTTCAGGTGTCAGGATATGATTACAATTTCATCATTAACAGCAATTAGAACTAAAACAAGTCTGAGAAACTAACCAGAGTGCTACGTAACCACTAGCCCAGCTGACAAACTTGCTCTAATGTGCAGTCAGTGATGCATCATGTTGCTTTCTTAGGGGGATGGCAGCTTATGTCACCTTGTGGGGAAAAATATTTTTTTTGAACAATATTTATGTTAAGGCCCACCATTACTTAATGTACACTAACAGCATTTCATCAGACAGCCTTGCGGCCAATTTGACACACTGCCTCTAGTCCACAGCAGTGGGTTCCACCATTGCTGGCGCTGCTGTGTAGTGACTACAGGATTAGTACAAGTGTTTTGTCATCATAAACTATGTGAAAGTTACAAGAATTTTAAAAGCCAAATTGTGAAATATATTGTAGCGCCTCGTTGGTACAAGGCACAAAATATGGACTATGGTATTAAATTAATTTTGCATATGGGGCCAAGGGAAAATTTAAGTTCCTAGGCCATAAATGCTACATTGCTTACTAAATTTGGCCCAAGACTACTATTGTTATGTCTGGGCAAGTAAGGCCTACAACAGGTTAATGCTTACTCTGTTCCACTATTATTTCAACAGCACAAACTAGCTCTCCTGGTAAAACATTTTTCAAGTTCAATGCAATGATTCAAGATTCTAAAATGTGGAGAATTGTCATTTTAAGTACATACTTAGTACAGAGTACTCACCATTCACCACAGTCTTCAGTGCCACCATCTGAAAAAGGGAGTAGTCATGTTATGTCACATTCTACACACCAAAATTAACAAAACTGGTGCAACATTCAGCGTACGAATACTTGTTAATCATAAAGATCTCAGTAGAGGTGTCATTTTTTCATCAAATAAAAGTAATTCACAAAATTTTAATATTTCCAGATTCATTGGGCAGAAATCAACTACGCACATAGAAAGCAGTTTCAATATTATATGAAATGTCAACCACAAAATATATGCTTTTCAACCTAAAAATTACCTGGTAGTAGGGGGAAACCCCCCTTCCCCCTCTAGGAGGGGGAAGGGGGGAGGGGGAAGGGGGGGAGGAGGGGGGGGGAAGGGGGGAGGAGGGGGGGGGGGGGGGGGGGGGGGGGGGAGGGGGGGGAAGGGGGGGAGGAGGGGGAAGGGGGGAAGGGGGGGAGGAGGGGGGGGGGGGGGGGAGGAGGGGGGGGGGGAGGGGGGGGGGAGGAGGGGGGGGGGGGGGGGGAGGGGGGGGGGGGAGGGGGGGAAGGGGGGAGGAGGGGGAGGGGTATTTTTTTTTACTTCATTGACACATTGACTTACAACGTTCATATATTCGAGTATGAATGCCAAGCAATGTTCATTAAAACATACAAGAACATTCATACATTAGAACCATCACATTCTGTCGATAACCAACTATTTCTAAAACCGGAATTTCAACTTTGAGACTAAGAATCCAGTTTGAGAGATTCTCACCATTTTTTCCAAAATGTGCATAGTTCAGTTCTAAGATTTAATCCACTTTATTCATAAATCCATAACTTTGCATTGGTGGAAGTAAACATCGTAATAATGGCCTCTAGAATAAAAAGGAAAGTAGGAACACACTTACCATTGTTAAGGTGTGCAGTTCCAACACAACTGCCTGAAATAACAAAACCACATTTAGTCAAATTCAAAACAAAGTATTATTCATTACACTTTCCATTCAGCGTACGAATACAGGTTAATCAAAGATCTCAGAAGAGGTGTCATTTGTATCATCATTTAGGTAAAATATTTGAGTATTTCATTTTGATTTAAGGGGCTTGATCTAAACTTTAAATCTCTGGTTGGAAATGGAACTTTGGTTACCAACAGTAACCGTGTTAATCAAGCATGCAGCTGTATCCTCATACTAATATTAGCTACAATACAAATTGGTTAAAACTATGGTGTAACTTACCGCAACGTATTCTGGTACCTTTAGCTGGCCCCTAGTCATCCTTCGTCATGACAACCATGCATTCTTGGTAGTCAACATGAAACAAATTTATAAATTAAAAACCATTTACAAAAATCAGCAAGCAAAAATTAAGTGAATGCTATATTATCAGACATCACATGCCATCATTGGCCGAAGCCATCTGTTGGAAACCGCGAATGTGAACAGGACAATCATCATTATCAACAGTTTTGCATCAATTTAACAGCACACAACTGTACACTGCATCAAGACAACTCTAGCAATGCACATGAACCCTGTTTTCAGATAACACAGACAGGTTGCATGACAATTTACTGCAGTTAATTTGTGCATTATACAATTGCCACTGATTAATGCTACATGCACTTTAAAGTACTGTATATCACTATGCAACAATAAAGTCTTCATGGCAGACAAAGCAACAAAAGTATTATTTTACCTTTAAAAATCAACACTTGACTAACCCCATCAAACTGCTTCACCATTTAAACTTGCCACAATGATTCCCTTTCCTAAAGGAGATTTACCTTAAATTTACAATCTTGAAGTTATCTCGAGATGATTTCGGGGCTTTAGTGTCCCCGCGGCCCAGTCCTCGACCAGGCCTCCACCCCCCAGGAAGCAGCCCGTGACAGCTGACTAAAACCCAGGTACCTATTTTACTGCTAGGTAACAGGGGCATAGGGCGAAAGAAACTGCCCATTGTTTCTCGCCGGCGCTCGGGATCGAACCCGGGACCACAGGATCACAAGTCCAGCGTGCTGTCTGCTCGGCCGACCGGCTCCGTAAGAGCCGATAAGACAATGTACAAGGTAACATCCATTTCACAGCATTTTCATGACCCCCCCCCCCCAGGAGGAACACTGGCAGCAACAAGCACACAAGTACCATAGGAGGAATTGGGATGTAATCTCTGCTGACGAAGTCAATAAAATAGAAAAATAAAAATTAAAAGGCCCAGTTGTAGTCTGGTTCGTTCAACACTTATCTGGAATGCCAGGTTCAAATACCAGACATACCATCGTACACACGTTATGGACAATCCCGGGCGTACCATCATACATGGTAGCAGTTGATCGACAGTCGAGTGACGGGACCAAAGAGCCAAAGCTCAACCCCTGCAAGCAAAATTAGGAGTACATACAGCCATTATTGCCAATCCTGGGGTACCATCATACATACAGCCATTATGGACAATCCTGGACATACCATCGCACATACAGCCATTATGGACAATCGCAACTAAAATATTTCTAGGTCTAGTATAGCACCTATGTACAATACTAGACCTCATAGCATGTATTAGGTCTGGGAAGGTTGAATTGTTTTCTTTGCTACAGTTACTAATGTTTCCCCTGTGTCAAATTAGTACAAAATTTCTACTTTTCTAATTGCCATTTAAGTCTATGCTTGTACGATGGTCATTATTTTAAGTACTACTAGATCAGGAGGATAAGTACTACTAGATCAGGAAGATGAACTACATAAAATTTTACTAAAATTAATGTCTGCAGGATGCAATACTGCTGCCTCTGCAACAGTACATTCAATTAAACTAAGAAATTGTTGAGAAGCTTATCAGTTACCTGCAATCTTTTTCTACTGCAAGAATCAAACAGTAGCACAAACACTAACCTTTCACAATGGCCAACATGTATGCTCCAGACTGGAAGACTGACATTTCCTCTGCAAAGAGAATATTACATCAACCACCACCCTCCTCTCCACGAAAATATTAAAATGTTATTGCCATTATCAGATCAAAATTCTTAACATCTTGCCCCAGTGGCAATCATTAGGTGTCCTAAGGCCTAGGATTAAATCTCATCACAATATGGTACACAAAGATTTACTTCATTACAGCCCCCAGGAAGGCCATGCTCTATATGCAGACCAGATACTTACTAATGTTTTAACTACAGCTGAACAAAATCTACATTTCTAGATAAACTATTAGTATAGTTTTAACAATTATTTCAAGTGGTACTTTTATGATGTAACCAAAGCTGTAAGATCATATCAGAGTTGGAGAAATCTGAAAAGGAACATGCTATCCAACCCTGATTAAGGAGCCCGGTGCATGTGCACGGAAACTGCCTCGCTCAATTTTTTTTTTGTGCACAATCTTCAATGGTAAATGCTCCAACTTTTCTGAATGATCATCATACTGTACCATGAAATAAAAATATATAACTCCAAATTGCTAAAAATATCTTATGTCACCAATTGCTATTTTATTCATTATGGTCTCAATGTCATTTTCCTCTGATAAACTTATTGTTGAAGAGTATAGTTTCCTGTAAAACTGAACGTGACCATCAAATTCTGTGCCAATTTTATACAAAATATATTTAACTCAAAACTTTATGGCTTTATGACTAAATGATTCAAAGGAAACCTTAGAACTAAGAACTTTTGCACATGTAAAAATGGCGACAATCTGTCAGGAACTCTTATTTTTAAATAGGTCTTGGAACATGAAATTCCTGTTTTAGAGATAATTGAAGTTTAAGTTATGTTATTGACAATGAATACGGGTAGTTCTATTTAATGAATTTTCTTGAATGTTTTAACACTATCGGTCACTTTGGACCGGACTCTCGTCCATTATTTTTCTCCCGAGTCCTAACCGAGGACCGGACTTGCGTCCACTACAAAAATATTTGTATAAAATTCATTTTTTATCCAATCGACCTAGGGATAGTATCAAAATAAGCACCTTTAGAATGCGCACAATTTGATACCAAAATGACAGACGTAACATGAAACTGTCCGAACACTTATGATTATAAATAGGTTTTTGGTCAAAAATTTTATATTTGTTAAAATTCTATGTAGTGCGCTATTATGTTGGGACTAGTTTTAAAATTCGCGCCTTTACGTCGTGAACAATTTGATACCAAAATGAAAGAACACGAAAATTGATGTAATCAAACTGAACGAGTATACACATTAGGTTTCAGTATACGAATTGGTGCTCGTTCACGGGTAACTTAAGGCTTTTTTGCGAGGAGGCACTCCAGGCTTTTGTACATTATGTTCACACACATCTGTAGGGAATTTAATTGCGAACACAATGATACCAAAATGAGTGACGTAGCACGAGAATTAAGATGTAGCACGAGAATTAAGGCGGGAAAACTGAAACTAGTATACACATTTAGGCATTGCCGCACACTCGCCCGCACCATTGGGGCCATGACGTCGAAGTCTGTGGCGTGCTCGTGGGGTGCGCGATAGTGTTAATAAACACTGCTTGGTATTCGTACTCGAATGTGAGAGTTGTAGGTCAATGTGTTGAAATGATGTCAAGAAAAAATAGCCCAAAAGACAAAATATAAGGACACGTTGGGGATAACTGTAAAACAAGACTCGTGCACCAGGCCCCTTAACTGTAACAGTAGGTTAGACATATGAATGAGATTGGGTGGATATAAATGGGAGCCGCCTCAGATGGGCCAATAGGCCTTTGAATCTAAATAAATCAGCCAAAAATATAAACAAGTCACCATTTCTGCCACCTGTGGGTGATTAACATGATCAATTTCGTTCCAATTTCACATGCTTTGTGCCAGATATGCATTCTTCAAGATATTGCCAGTAAATAGGGGGGGGTTATGGTTATCAGTACCAGTTGCTGCCCGTCACATACGCATTTTTTTTTAATTTATAAAAAAAATCCATTTCTTAACATATTGGAATGAAGTTTTCACGATGCTAATGCCAAATAACGGGAGATTTGTTTAAAAAATTTCACTTATATACATGGAAAAATACTCCTCGTGCACCAGACCCTTTAAGGTATATTTTATCGCTATTAAATTAAATCCTAAACCATACCTAGTAGACAAATGCAAATGTGGACACTCGCATCCTCAAAATACCTGTACAAGAACCAGAAAGTACACAAATCTGAGGGCAAACTTTCCATGGGTTCAAGAAAGGAAGAGTTAACAAGTCTGCTGCCCTCACAACGTTGCCAAAGACTGGAGACTTGCCAGTTACACACAATGTTCCCAGGGACAAAGAAATAAATGCCAGTCAGCATTTGCTGATGGTAAGGACCCCAAGAGACCACTTCAGACTGCAGGAATGTGTGGACAAATCTATACTACAGCTTAATACCAGAAACTAATAAGGTTTGAATAGGGAAGGATAAACAGTTTTAAGAAATGACTTGTGGGGGAAAAAATGAACAGGTACATATAACTTTTCAACCCAAAATATATTGAAACTTAAGCACAAGTACTGCAAGCATTTTAGAGCATCTGTAAACACATGACTATCTTAATTTACTAGAAAGGTTCTTTATTTGATTATAAAGCAAATTTTTCTACTTTCACATTAAAAACTATATAAACAATTTTGGTAAAAAATAAATTGGTGCTAATGAAAGACTGAAAAACCCATATATAATGCAGCCGCCCCTCCAACTAGATAGTATGCTTTAATACTAAATGTAATAAGTACACTCCTGACTATAGGCATAGTATATAAACAAGTCAGCATCGCACCAAAATATTGTAAATATTAGAGTTAACCTGAAAAGAACCACGATACCTGAATATAAAACCATGACTTAACCTAACCTTGGGAGTGTAGGAAGACAAGTACGTAAATAGCATTTATTGCTTCTTAACACTTTCGTGCCCCCGGTGTGCGCTCAGTTTGTATGCATGAACTGCTGCCCCCGGTGTGCGCTCAGTTTGTATACATGAACTGCTCCTGGCAGTGCGCTCGAGTGCATGGGCGAGCGTGCGGCAACACCGAAGTGTGTATACTCGTTTCAGTTTTCTCATCTCAATCCTCTTGCTACGTAGTTTTGGTATCATTGTGTTCGCAATTAAATTCCCGGCAGGTGTAAATGCATATTGTCTAAAAACCCAGCACTTCTTAAAGCCTAAAGTTACCCGTGAACGAGCACCAATTATCACACCCACAACCTGATGTGTATACTCGTTCAGTATGATAACCTCAATTTCATGTTACATCGCTCTTTTTGATATCAAATTGTGCGCAATATAAAGGCACGTATTTCAAAACTAGTCCCATAGAGCAATAATTGGAATCTTAAATTATAATTTTGGATGCTCATAAAATTTGTTATATCTTTCCATTTGACATCAAATTTCGTGTTACATCTTTCATTTTGGTATCAAATAGTTCGCAATTTAAAGGCGCACATTTTAAACCCACTCCCAGATTAATCTGATAAAATTTAAATATTTAATAAATATTTTAAAATTTGGACACAGCTAGCGTCACGGGCTAGGACACTAGAGAAAAATTGGGGACGCCAGGGGCACCATGAGTGCCAAAGTGATAATTACAATAATTAATCTATAGCTATATTGATATTACAATTTTATAAAAAAATAAAACAAAGGTCTTTCAATAAATTATAAAGCAACTGATATTTTCAAATTTTATATAAAATCTATTGTTTAATAAAACTGAAAAAGAATCTTTATATTTAAAGCTTGTGTATACAGAATTGAAAACGAAAACTTCAACCTTAAATTTTTAGCGTATTAACAGAAAATGATAATATATGGGGAGGTAAATGTAAGGGCACAATTACATGTATTTATGTACACTGCAGACGGTTAGGAATGTACTTTAATACATTTAGTATTAAAATGTTCTGTCTATTCGGACAGTACGATGAAAGTGGCACCAGTGTCTGTCCATAAGCAATAGAATATACCAAACCAATATGGCACATTGACAGTCCAACAGTCCAACTCCCCTTCCCCCCCTCAACCCAAACCATTCCTATTTAATATACAAAAAAAGTTCATGAAATAATATTGACATTGCAAAGTTAAAGAGCAGCAGCCACAATATACAAAATACTGGCTTTAAGAGCCAGACAGCTTTTAGATTCGCCGTTATACAAGGAATAACTTGGGCAGCTCCCGACATACAAGAAGTAATAGTGAACACTCCATATCCCCAAGACATGATCACAACATACAAGATAAGAAAGGAGCAAGCTAATCTAGTGATTAATTTAGTGATTAAATAAGACATGCAAGTGAATTTTAACACTTTCGCGCTTTGGGCGCGCGAGCACCGCACCACATCACACGCACTAGGGGACACAGGTGGAAACCGAGTGCCCAAATGAGCCAGAGATATTAGAAAGAACTTTTTTTTAGTGTCAGAGTGGTTTACAAATGGAATGCGTTAGGAAGCAATGTGGTGGAGGCTGACTCCATACACAGTTTCAAGTGTAGATAGAGCCCAATAGGCTCAGGAACCTGTACACCTGTTGATTGACGGGACCAAAGAGCCAGAGCTCAACCCCCGCAAGTACAACTAGGCGAGTACTTTCATTAGAGCATGCGGTAATACTGAAAAGTGTATTCTCTTTTCAACTTTCGTCATCTCAATTCTCATCCTAGGTTTTTCAAATTGGAATCAAGTGTGTTTGCAATAGAATTCTCTACAGGACTAAATGCATATAAAGCCCAAAAGTCTGGCGAGAAAGTGAGAGCATGTTACCCGTGAGTGTGCAAGAGCAATAAAATGTGTACACTCTTCACTTTGAACATCTCAATTCTCATCCTGGGTCTTTCATTTTGGTATCATTGTTAAATACATACTTGCAGCCCAAATGCAAGTATGCAAGACATGCAAGTGGCCTTTAACAAGATTCAAATGTAAAATATGACTGAGCACTTCATAAAGTTGGACAGTGGAACTACACCATCCAAGTCATACTAAAATTGTGTAGCACAAACCTCCCCCACATTGAGGCATTCAGTATCTCAATACAAATACTTGTATTAAAAGTTTCCATCTCAGTACAAGTGAATGATTAACAACCCAGTAGGGTTCTTTCTACAAGGGAAGGGAGGGTTGTACACGTTGCTTTGGTGGTGTGTTAACGACTAACTGCCCAATAAACAAATTAATAAAGCAAAATTAATTTAGACAAGTATCAACTCACCTTCCACATTCTTGGACATTCCTATTCCTTGAAGTTACTAGCAACATTTCTCTGCAAAGACAAAATTGATTGTATAATTTTTTTTACCATTTCCAGCATTATTAATAAAGTAATCTTATTAAGTATTCTTAAGGAAAAAACTTTTTAGCAATCTATCAGTGTGTCCTAAAGCCTAGGAGATAGAGAAGTAATCCAAGGCCTTACATTACAAGATTATTACATCTCTTGTGAGATCTTGGGATGATTTCGGGGCTTTGGTGTCCCCACAGCCCGGTCCTCGACCAGGCCTCCACCCCCAGGAAGCAGCCCGTGACAGCTAGCGCCCAGGTACCTATTTTACTGCTAGGTAACAGGGGCATAGGGTGAAAGAAACTGCTCATTGTTTCTCGCCGGCACCTGGGATCGAACCTGGGATCACAGGATCACAAGTCCAGCATGCTGTCCGCTTGGCCGACTGGCTCCCTCTATGTATTATATATGAGGCATTTTATATTATATTATATATATATTATATTATGTATTGTATCATGTCAAGAACCCAACATAGTACATTGGAATGATCAGGGTTGACAACCCGACATTTAGTGAACATAACCAAGCAAATACAGTGGTGGACAAGAAACTATACAGACCACAAAGACAAAACATCTAAGCTACAATCCATCCTCCGAATTGACAGTACTGTTTTAATACTAAGTGTAATAAGTACATTTCCTTACTGTCATACATAGTACATAATTGCACTTACAGGGCTGTTACATTTACCTCCCCATTTATTCTAGTTTTCTGTCAAGACCCTCAAATTTTAGGATGAAGTTTTAAAGTTCAGTTCGCTATACACAAGCTTTAAATATTAGGAATTTTTCCACTTATTAAACAAGAGATTTTATACAAAATTTGAAAATATCCTTAGTTATTTTACAATTTATTGAAATATTCGCTTTTTTATAAAACTAATATCAATATAGGTATAGGTTAAGTAGTAATTGTAATCAAGAAGCAATAAAATGCTTATCTAAGAAAAAAACTAAGACGGTTAGGTTGGATCGTGGTTTTCTATTCAGCTTTTAAAATAAACTCATTTACAATATATTTGACAGTACGGTTTAATACTAAGTGAAAATAAGTACAATTCCAGAGTCATACATAGTACATAATTGCACTTGAGCCGTTACATTTACCTCCCCATTTTTGGAAGACGGGCTGCTAAATTATTTGGCCCTTTAATTCCAGTCCCAAATTTGCAGACAGAACATACTGGAGCAAAAGATACAAAAGGAAATGCAAAATCGACCTAGCAAGTAGGTGCCACAGGCACAATTGGAGAGCACTGTTGGAACATTAGGGGTTCATGGCTGTTCAAAACCCTATCAGCAAGCATTAAAAATATTGTCAGAACAAAGGTGGGCATCTTCAAGAAGCACTCTAGAAGAAATGCAGAATGCCGGACCAACCAGCTTTTAGTGGATGTGTGGGCCTGCGGGCCACTCCAAGCAACAGCCAGTTAGACCAAATTATCACATTTAGAGCCTGGGAACAGAACTGAACCCACTAAGATTTATTTAGAACCACAACATTTAGAACCTGCCCAATTGGATTACCCACCATCTCCCCAGGGGCCTCGTAGCCTGGTGGAAGGGGCCTCGTAGCCTGGTGGATAGCGCCCACATGGGCAAAGTTTCTTTCACCCTGAATGCCCCTGTTACCTTGACCAATTCATAAACATCAAACCTATTCTATACCAGTAAGATTCAGAGATCTGTTTCAAAGCAAAGTAACATTATATCTTTACAAATGGATACCAAACTCTCCAATAAACAGAACAGGCAAAAAAATATGGACTTTTAGAAAGAGTGCAGATAAAAAGTAGCTGCAATCAAGAGAGTTGCAATCCCACTGCAAGAAGAAATATTAAATACTCCCGGCAATAATTGCATTTTCATACATGATTTTACATTTATCACAAAATTCTTAACATATTGATCCTTGGCAATCATTAGGTTCCCTAAGGATTAGATCTCATTACAAAACAGTGGATCATTTAAAGGAATATTAAATATTACATTTCAGTCAGCATTTTAATACACAATCGCCTAATACTTACAATTTTACAAGACAAATCAACTAACCCCTAAACGTCTTTCACTCTTGCCAGAAGTGTTGGGCCCGTTCAGCAATTTATCTACAAAGGAAATTTCACATTAAACTATGTCTATCCTTAATTTTAAGCAAGTACATTTCTTATATATTCATCAGTTACAAGTTTCTAAACATATTGCCTACTGGCAATCTTTAGGTGTCCTAAGGGTTATATCATCACAATGTTCTATGACTAGACAAGTTCCCCAAGTGTTTGCCAACTAATATTAATTTAAAACCTACTTAAAAAAAAAAAAAAAAAAAAAAAAAACGTCCTGGTGGTTTTGAACTAGATATCCAGCCCGTCCCCTCAAGTGTTTACAGTGTCACAACTGATGTACTAAATTGCCCAAACCTAACCTAACCCAATGACCCATGATGAGAAAACTGGACATTACGTCAATTATGCAACAGTTTTTGGTGTTGGGGGATTTATGCAGCTTGAGATATTTATGACTTGAGATATCACATGGCAAGTCTGCATCAAAGACAAACATATCAAATGCGCGAGTTGAAAAATCAGACTGTTTGCTGGTTGTTTGCACCAGCAAATGTACGTTTCAACAATGCCGACTAGCAGTTATAACTAAACTGCAGGCATAATACTGTTGTTTTAACATGCCTGTATGCATTTAATATAGACTAGGACAAGGTGCCAATACAAGACAGACTAGGATAAGAATCTTAGGTAAATACATTTAAGGGGCCGTCTGGTTATTATAATAAAAGTTGTTCAATGTCAACCAATATTAATTTTCTAGTTGTATATGAAAAGTGCTTAAATTGTCCCAAGTTTCACTACTGCAGCGTAAATAGAAAGGTTTTTTTTTTTTTTTTTTTTTTTTTTTGAACGTTTTTTACACATTTTCAAGTCCACACTTCAGAACACACGTTTCAGATATAATTATTCTGACACTTTTCTGACACATTAGCATATAATAAAGGATTTGGGGATTTAGAATTTCCAAAACATCTTTAGCTTTCCTAATACAAATGTTCAAAGTTCCCCCAAATTTTTTTGCAAATATGGCATGTTTATTGCTATTATAAAATCAATAAATGAACTTAGAGAAAAATGAAAGCCCCCCAATGTAGAGACATGCCCTCCACAATGTAGAGACATGCCCCACAATGTAGAGACATGCCCTCCACAAAGACATGCCCTCCACAATGTAGAGACATGTCCAAATGTAGAGACATGCCCCACAATGTAGAGACATGCCCTCCACATATACTGTGAAGTTTCATGTAAATTGAATAAAAAAGGAATCAGTTTTGTAAACGTTTGTGTCAATTGAAAAAAAAAAGAAATGAATAAAGTCTAAGGTTCTAAAATCTGTGGCTGGGGTTGACATCAACCAATTTTCTCCAAAATTGGCATCCTTACAGATAGGCTTACGTACAGTCTGGTGTGTAAATTTGATGCAAATCGCCCAAAAAAAAGAAAAAAATTAAAAAAAAAAAAAAAAAATTTTCCTTAAAATTTTTTTCCAATTAAACTAATTATAATATTTGTTTAATATATGCTATTGTGATAGCAAAGAGTCGTAGTTATGATTTCGGTTGACACTTGATTGATAATCGATTTTGACCATTTTTGCATAATTTTCACAACTACTTCAATATTTTTTTCTCCCTTCCTATTTATGCTACGATGCTGAAACTTGGACCAGATGAAACACTTTTCATATAGAGCTTGTCAAAAAAGTTTGATTGAAATCGAATGAGTTTTCATTTTTGCATTTTTGGACCCATAACTGGCAAACCCCTCACAGTGTTCAAGAGAGAACTGGATAAGCACCTCCAAAGGATACCTGATCAACCAGGCTGTGACTCATACGTCAGGCTGCGAGCAGCCGCGTCTAACAGCCTGGTTGACCAGTCCAGCAACCAGGAGGCCTGGTCGACGACCGGGCCGCGGGGACACTAAGCCCCGGAAGCACCTTAAGGTAGCCTCAAGGTAGGTAGCCCAGATGCCAACCAGATGCCCCCTTAAGTGCAACAAGTCTGTACAAGACTAAAGTTATCAAAAAGTTGAATTGTCAATATTGGCATGAGCAAACAATGGGCCAGTGTGCATCACATACAGGTTACATGTTACCTATGCTGCTGGAAACCAAAAACCATTGTCAAGCAAATATATTGCTTGCATTTTAAAGTAGCAACCTTACAATGAACTACTAAAACTAAACTACCTGTAAAACTAAAATTTAATTAGATTTAAAAATCCCTACGTGTCAATGGTAACAGGACCTGTACAACTGGAACATTAAGGTAAATGACAATGCCCGGCCCACGAGCACAAAATTAAGACCAACAGTGGTACGACTTTTACAACACTTCCATCGTTCTGTTTTCCATCGCCAGAAACATTGCCTCATTACCACAACATTAGCCTTGCTTTGTGATCCATTACATCCACACACAATGTACATGAAGGAAGGTAATTACCTTGAGCACTAGTTACTAAATGTACACAAATCCAAGAACCATCTGAAAAACTAAGTTATCTTTTCTGAAACATCTTTCTGAAAAGAACCATGTGTGTATCGAGCCCATGTTACATACTCAAGACACCTGGCTAGCATCCCTGACCCTACAGGTGTGCACACATGTGAACATGCCCCTACGGAAGAAAACAAGAACCTCCCTCATTCTGTGCACGGCACCAAACAACTCTTGCTTGCTAGCAATTCTAGTTAGGGAGAACATAGCCGCAGCAGTTTAAGCAGAATCAAGAGAATGAACAATTAATGCCTATATAGCCGTGTACTCCCAAGACAACTACATATCCAAGCCTGCTCACAAATGTGCTTTACAGACTTCTAAAATATTAATTTGGTTAGGTAAGCTCGGTTTTAAATTTTAAGCCAAAGTTGTATGCAGTACAACATGTACCGTACCTGTATATACAGAACTTCCTATACTGCCTCGTAAAGGCCTAAACCTATTATTCAGCACCCAAAAACCAAACAGCCCTATTTAGTGGCAGGGACAGTTATGGCACTCAAGTAGTTTTAACATTTAAAAGACCTTCCATGTTTGACAGTGTTAAACAACCCTTTAGAGACAACTGGAGCATGGTGGGCCGGCCACCATCACTAATACTTCAGTGAACCAGGCAATTGTCCCCCACGACGACCATGTGGCTCAACCCCACCAAGCTGCCCCATGTAACTAGCCCCACACACTGCCCACAACCAGCCCCCACACGCTGCCCACAACCAGCCTACAACACCAACCATCCCCCCCCCCCCCACACTGCAATCCGCGGCCGTCCTCCCAGCGAGCATAAAATATTGCCGGAACAACGCGGCATTTTCCAGAAAACTGGACGGTTTTCTAAGAGAACGGATCACCGGGCTGTGGTGGGTACCCCCCCACGGGCGGCTCCACAACCAGCCTACAACACCAACCAGCCTACAACACAGTCGAGCCCCACACGCGGCCGGGCTTGGGGAGTAGAAGAACACCCAGAAGCCTATCAACCAACCATCCCCCACAACAACCGGCCTACAACACCAACCATCCCCCCCACACGCTGCCCACAACCATCCTACAACACCAACCAGCCCCCACACGCTGCCCACAACCAGCCTACAACACCAACCATCCCCCCCACACGCTGCCCACAACCAGCCTACAACACCAACCAGCCCCCCACACGCTACAACACAACCAGCCTACAACACCAACCAGCCCCCACACGCTGCCCACTACAACACCAACCAGCCCCCACACGCTGCCCACAACCAGCCCTTACACGCTGCCCACAACCAGCCCCCACACGCTGCCCACAACCAGCCCTTACACGCTGCCCACAACCAGCCCCCACACGCTGCCCACAACCAGCCCTACACGCTGCCCACAACCAGCCCCCACACGCTGCCCACAACTAGCCTACACGCTGCCCACAACCAGCCCTTACACGCTGCCCACAACCAGCCTACACCAACCAGCCCCCACACGCTGCCCACAACCAGCCTACAACACCAACCAGCCCCCACACGCTGCCCACAACCAGCTCTTACACGCTGCCCACAACCAGCCTACAACACCAACCAGCCCCCACACGCTGCCCACAACCAGCCTACAACACCAACCAGCCCCCACACGCTGCCCACAACCAGCCTACAACACCAACCAGCCCCCACACGCTGCCCACAACCAGCCCCCACACGCTGCCCACAACCAGCCCCCCACACGCTGCCCACAACCAGCCCCCACACGCTGCCCACAACACCAACCAGCCCCCACACGCTGCCCACAACACCAACCAGCCCCCACACGCTGCCCACAACACCAACCAGCCCCCACACGCTGCCCACAACACCAACCAGCCCCCACACGCTGCCCACAACAGCCCAACCAGCTGCCCACAACCGGTCTACAACAACCACCCCCACACCCGGCCTACAACCAGCCCTCCACATGCTGCCCATAACCAGCCTACAACGCCAACTAGCCCCCACCGTGGCCCACAACACACCATCAAGCAGCCACCAGCGCGGGACAGGCGTCCAGCAGGTAAATAATATTGAAGGAGCGGCGGCGGCCACGCCTCACGACGACCTGCAGCAGAGTGGACCGTCTTCCCGCCCTCCCTGGCCCTCCTCACTCTCCTCCTCCCTCACTTATACCTCACTTATTCATAACTTATTTTACGTTATAAATATCCTTAAATACTTTAGTGGCATAATATGTAGCCCTTATGTCATGCAAAGCAGGTTTTGATATTACAAATGTTATATGAGGATTTATATTTAAATATTTTTCTAATGTAAAATCAATTATATATATAATATGTTTATAAATAATACATCTAATTGTGGATTTTATAATAAATTTGCATTTATTGCACAACAATAATATACAATACAATAGATTTTAGCACATGTCCAAGGCATTGTATAAAAGAAAACGACACAAAAAGTATGAGTAACTTCTTTATTTATTTTCAAAATTCAAATTCAAAATTCAAATTCAAATATTTATTCAGGTAAAGTACATACATAAAAGGTGAGATACAAAACGTTGATGGATTTATAGATAGACCTAGTACATACAATGCCTAAAGCCACTATTACGCAAAGCGTTTCGGGCAAGAAAAACACTAGGACTAAAACTTGATACTAATTGAGATTAAAGTATAAATTGTGTTGAGAAAATAAAAAAATAAAAAAAAGGGGGGGAACATGGCAGAAAAAATAGCAAATATACAATTTGGTCAACAAACAGCATTGTTTGAAATAGAAGACATGGAATGACATTTTGGGGGTGAGGTAGATTATATAGTTTTAATTGGGTAGTGCTTCGTTTTTATCTTAAACTGGTTGAGAGAGGTACAGTCTTTAACATAATTGGGAAGGTCATTCCACATTCTGGGTCCCTTGATTTGTAAAGCATTTCTAGTTTGATTAAGTCGTACTCTTGGAATATCAAATAGGTATTTGTTTCTGGTGTGGTGCTCATGGGTTCTGTTACAACCTTCAAGGAAGCTTTTGAGGTCAGGATTGGCATTACAGTTCAGCGTTTTATATATATAAAATACACATGAGAGGATGTGCAGTGACTTAATATCTATCATATTCAGAGATTTGAGTAGAGGTACCGAGTGATGTCTGGGGCCAGAGTTAGATATTGTCCTAATAGCAGCTTTGTGTTGAGTAATTAGAGGACGTAAATGATTTTGGGTAGTAGAACCCCAAGCACAAATACCATAGTTGAGATAAGGATAGATGAGAGAGTAATAGAGAGTCACCAGGGCAGGGCGAGGTACATAATATCTGATCTTAGAAAGAATGCCAACAGTTTTTGAAACTTTTTTTGATATATTTAGAATGTGTCCCTGAAAATTCAGCTTGTGGTCAATGAGAGCGCCAAGGAATTTGCCATCTACTTTGTTAGAAATTTGGGTATTATTTATCCTGAGTTTTATTTGATTTGAGGATTTATTGCCAAACAAAATATAGAAAGTTTTGTCAATATTGAGGGGCAGTTTGTTGGCAGTTAGCCAGTGATGGACTTTATTTAGCTCAGTATTCACTGTGACATTTAACGCAAGGGGGTCAGGACTGGAGTATATGAAGGTCGTGTCGTCAGCAAATAGAATTGGTTTGAGGTGTTGGGAGGCATTTGGAAGGTCATTAATGTAGATGAGAAAGAAGAGAGGGCCAAGTATGCTGCCCTGAGGAACACCAATGTTGATGAGTAGGGTGGGAGAATTTGAATTATTCACAGAAACATACTGGAGCCTTTATATTTATTTATATATACTGGAGATCAAATCTACCATACTTTTTTTTTAAATTAAAATTTGCCCCGAGGGGCGAGTTTATTGGGCAGCGCCACTCATCTTGTGAGTGGACACACCGCCATAGTGACAGTATTGGGCAGCGCCACTCATCTTGTGAGTGGACACACCGCCATAGTGACAGTATTGGGCAGCGCCACTCATCTTGTGAGTGGACACACCGCCATAGTGACAGTATTGGGCAGCGCCACTCATCTTGTGAGTGGACACACCGCCATACCAGCATGTACAACACTCCCCAAAAGGAAGAGAACCCGCTGGGTTGTTCATCCTGTCACTTGTACCCAGACACAGCTGGGACTTGCTTAACTGTCTCAAATGAACAGCTTCTCAAACAAGAAGATTAACATCTGTCAACCCTTAAGAGCTTACGTTATCTTGCGGGTGCAAAATGGAGGAATCTTTTAAGAACACTGTCAATATTTGACAAATGGTGTTTTCCTAACTCAAACAATGTGGGGTTTATTATTCTACACATATTTGTAATGTCTCTCAGGTGTTCACATTCACGTAGATAGTGGTCAAGGCGGTGTCCGTCACTCTCATCACAAATTCTGCAACTTCGCTGATCAACAGTCGTTTCCATTCCGTATCTCCATGGATATTTGTATCCCAGACGGATTCTCGCTGTTACTGATTCTCTCCCTCGTCGTCCTCCTCCTATTCGTCCATAATGATTGGGATTGCCAGCTGCAACCATGTTGTACCATCGTACAGATTCACTGGTTTGTGCTTCTATCCTCCTTTCCTCAGTTACTTTGTCACGGTGATGTTGCCTGACAATACCTCTAATTTGTAGTAGAGTCTTGGGTATGAAGTGTTCAATATACTAATATTCTGAAACCTATTTTGTTTGCTGATGATACTACCCTCATCTACTCTAACCCCAACCCACGTACACTAAATAATGTTGTTAATAATGAACTAAAAAAAGTCCACTTATGGATGTCAACCAACAAACTAACACTTAACTTAGAAAAGACCTACTACATCCTATTTGGAAGCAAATCTACAAATGCAATTCAGCTTCAGATAGACCATGTAAACATTAGCAATAAAAATGATGGAAAGTTTCATGGCATATTCCTAGACAAGAGACTCAACTTCAGTACCCACATACAACACATAACTAAGAAAGTCTCTAAAACAGTTGGTATACTCTCCAAAATTAGATATTATGTACCTAACTCTGCTCTCATCTCTCTATATTATGCACTAATCTGTCCCTATCTCAATTATGGTATCTGTGCATGGGGTTCAACCACTGCAAACCACCTCAAGTCCATCATCACCCAGCAAAAATCTGCTATCAGAATAATATCAAATTCTGCTTTCAGACAACACACAGCCCCCTTGTTTAACTCCCTAAACATGCTAAACATAATCTCACTCCACAAATTCTCTTGTATCAACTACATTTACAAAACCCTGTTCTTAAATGCAAACCATGCTCTGAAACTCTCCTTGGACAGATGTAATAGGACCCATTATCACCACACCAGAAATAAATATCTCTTTGATATCCCCAGAGTTAAACTTAATCTGTGTAAACACTCTATGCAAATAAAGGGACCCAGTTTATGGAACTCACTCCCTATTGAACTGAAAAGCTGTCCAACTTTTGCGTCATTCAAAAACAATACTAAAAAGTACCTAATTTCATCTTCATAGTTTGTTACCTTTTGCTTTAAAACTGCACTGTATCTATTGCTACCCAATCTCCCAATCTTTATGTTCCCAATCTGAACATCTTTATCATTGTGATCATTGCTGTCTTCTTATATGTGCTGTCAATCTGCTGTATGGTGTCTATTAATCTTGTTTAAATTACCAATCAAGCTGTCAGTGTAATCAATCAGAGCTTTAATATATCAATGTGCTTTAATATACTTACTAATCTCTCTCATCTCATTTTTTTCTTGCAATGTATTTGTTATCATTTTATTAATTCTGATAGAATTTACCTACTTAAAATTATCTGTTAGATTAAGGACCTGCCCGAAACGCTGCACGTACTAGTGGCTTTACAAGAGAGTAAATACTGTACTATGCTATGTATTCTCACAAACCCAATGTACCTTCTTGTATATAAATAAATAAATAAATAAATAAATATAGTCTCCTTCAGCGCCTTCAGCAGCCAGCACATCTGCTCGTTCATTCCAACATGGGAGGGGATCCACAGAAACTTGATGACTCTTCCCTGGTTGGTAAGTACTCTCACAGCTCTATTAATTTCAGCGACTATTGCAAGATTTTCTGCCCGATTTTTACTTAGGCTTTGCAGTGCTGCTTTTGAATCAGTGCAAATCACTGCACCATTAGTGTTTCATTCAAGAAACCTTAACGCCATAACAATGGCAGTTAGCTCTGCTTGCGTTGAAGAGGCATAGTTCTCAACATGCCCTTTTTCTTCATTTCTGCGTTGGAAAGCTTAATCCTTGATTACCGTGTAAGCTGCACCAGCCCTGCCACTGACAGGATTAGATGACCCGTCAGTGTAGATTTGATCTAGTTCATCTCCGGCTTCTTTATAAATTTCCTCGAGATACTTGTGCCTCATTTCTTGTGGTATCATGTTGGATTTTTTCATTGCCATTTCATTGATGATGATCTTGCATGAGTCATCCTCCCAGGGAGGTAACCTCTCTACAGGCAGGAGCTCACGGGCTTGCTCAAGCAGGTGAAGCTCTTCAAGGTAGCAGACTGATCTGTGATGCCATTTTTTGCTTCTCCTGTTTACCCCTGAAAGTAGCACAGAGCTCAGTTTTTTCTTAACAATATCATTGTAATGGGGATCTCTGGCTATCCTAATTGCAAGCTTAGCATTCAGCTCCTGAATTCTGCTTTTAATACTGGGAAGGGACAACTCTCGTAAATTAGACGTTTTGGCAGTTCTTGGAACTCCAAGAATGTTTGTCATGGCTTTATTTTGAATGCTTTCAAGCTTTTTCATATCGCTTTGGGAGTAGGTGCACAGAACTGGTGCGGCATAGTCTATGACGGAGCGCACATAGGCTGTGTACATCATTTTAAGCACGGCAATAGAGACTCCATGTCCATTCCAGGTCATGGCTTTCAGTGCCCTGAGTCGACTTTACATACTTGTACAGCCACCAGAACGCTTTGCGTTTCAGGCAAGACCTTAATCTTAATTTTCACACTCACACATTCCCAGGAAGCAGCCCGTAGCAGCTGTCTAACTCCAAGGTACCTATTTACTGCTAGGTGAACAGATACATCAGGGTAAAAGAAACTCTACCCATTTGTTTCCGCCTTCCGCCGGGGATCGAACCTCGACTCTTA